TTAAGCAGCTAAAGATATTTTCAGATCAGTACGGGAGAGGCCGCAGCTGTGCAATGTGTGGAATGTGACCTGTTGGGAAGGTGTGGGCAGAGCAGCAGGAAGCAGATCAGGGTGGAAAGGGGGAAAGGGAGCAGGTGGCAGAGCAGAACTGGATTTTCCTCCATTCTCTGAGGGAGCTGTTGCCAAGGACAAAGCTATAAGCAACCAGATTAAAACAAATTACTCTTCCCTGAGTGTTTCCTGGTTAATAACCTCATTGTTTAACATCAGGGTGATGGAGAACTTTAGAGATGATGATCCAGCGCTGGACACAGGCTGACACACACTCTTGGTGTGTATGACAACCTATGTCCCTTAAAAAAATTGCAGGATTCTGTGTTAGAGTACATAGAGTTTCCTTTCATATAGCACCAATCCTCCTGTGATTTAGCTGTGTTTCTTGCTGTATCAGACCAAAATGTAAAGTCAAACTGTACATTATATAAATCAGCTCATCCATGAATGAGGTGAAAATTCCTGAGGTTGCCACAGAACTATATTTCGGTTAACAGCTATCCTAAGTAGCATGTCTCTATTCTTGTTGAAATATGCTTGTACAATTGCCCAGCAGGATGATGACAATGCTGATCCTGATGAAAAAACTCCATGCAGATATGATATAAAAACTTTGTCAAGATAAGTGTTAAGAAGTCCCTTATTTGCTCTGGAAGCCAGACGGCATCAAACAAATGAGTCGAGCATATCTGCAGTGACTCAGAGCCTGAAAACTGAACAGAAGACAAAATTCATTCCTATTTACACCATACATTTTTGCGACAAATGGCAAGTGCTTTAACACCTCTGGGACATAGCGGGTTTTTTTCCTACCCAGATCTCTTATTCATGAAGGGTTGATTTGTGCTATTATAGAACAGATGAGTGACACATACACCTCAACATTAAATGGATCCACTCTTATGTGGATCCTCATACATATGTGCAATAACTTATCTGAAAGCAAATAAACTCTTGAGTTTTTGGTTTGGGACAGCAATAATTAATTCTGGGATTAAGACAGTCTGCAGAATCTATTTCATATAGATTCTTCATTGCTTGCAAATACCCCCAAAAACCCATAAAAGCTGTTTTTGTTCCACCCTGGTTGTTAAGATAGTTCTTCTTCTGCTATTAGGTGTGCTTCTAGTCATAATAATGTTCAAAATTCTTAAGCCAATTTCCATAATTTGCCCAATGTAAGTGGGAAACTGAGGTTCTGGATGTGGGTATGCTCCATGGCACCGCATGGTGAATCTGCAGTGGAATTCACTGCTCAGCAACAAAGGCTAATCAAAAGCATTTTCCTAAGTGCATCAATCAGTTTCACTGGATCCTATTAAATACTAGACCAAAAATAAAATCTTTGGTCTATAGCTTCAAAGCTCTGTGGCCAAATACGTACTTAATCTAATACAGGCCCGAATAAGAGACAGAAAACTAATGTTTGTGCCGGAAAGAAAACATACTGAGAGATTTGTTTCCTTAGTGTAAAGTAACTTTTTCCAGAACCTACATTTTATTTTCTGATGGAAGTACTTTCAATAAAAAAAGGCCAAGCTAACATACATGTTTTGATTAAAATTAATAATCAGCTCTCAGCATTTGAGACATGAGGATTCAAAGTCTGTGACCTGCTTTGTTCTGACCGTCCTATAGAGCTACCATTTGTCAAACAGGGGAACTCTCTCCCTTCAGAGTCTCAGCTGTGACAGTTCTTTCTCACTTCAAATGTTTTTCTCCAGCTTCAAATGTCAGTGTCTCAAAAGACAGTTCTACATCTTAATTTCATACAGAATTCTTAAAAGTAGGGCTTGAATTGTTTATTCTCAGGTAGAACAGCCAGCTTTGGGTGGATTGTTTTCATTCCGGTAGTCCTCTAAATCTGTGCTAAGACAAACTGACATTATTTGGACAGTATGCTATTTCAGGGAAAGACTGGATTTTTCAGGGATCTGTCTGATTTCACAAAATTGGCCACAGCATAGGCCTATTCTGTAATATAGCTGCTACATACCTTCCTAATAAAAACAAATAGAAAACAATGGAAAGATCCTAAATGATTACTTTGGTCTCCTTTTGCTCAATTCAGTAGTTCAGAACTAAACTTAAAACACCACTTATCGGTTTTGGTCTCAGACACTGAAAATAAATGAAATATTACGTGACTTAGCTGTTAGAGGCTAGAAATTAATTAAAAAAAAATGAAGTGTGAAACACAGTAGTAAAGGTGAGTTCAAGAAATAACATCTGTGAGTAATGTCATAAAAATTACTACAACCTCAAAAGAGATCAAATACATAGGCAAGACTATTTTCACATGGATCCACAAGTAATAATCAATAATACTGATTGTGGAAGCATTTGACAAAACAGGCAATCTGAACTCTCGTTAGAGAAATTCCCCATCTTAATGCTTAGGACTTCTATGTCTAGTTGGTATTCTCAGATATTTGAACTACAATACTTGGCAATGTAATTCATCAGTCACTATAAACCTTCATACTTAATGGAATAAAAGCTGGTTAACTTTCACATTAAAACATCAAATGTCATTGAAAAAGAATCCCTGAAAAGAAATGTTTATAAGGGATGAACAAAGATTTGATGCTTACAAGATACATGTTTTGTAAAAGACAGGCAAAATGGCAAGTGAAAGGCAATGATAGTGAATAGAACTGGACTGCTGGCCAAACTGTGCCCCTTTCCTAACAGTGTAGAATCATAGAATCAAGGTTGGAAAAGACCTCCAAAATCCACTCACCACCAATATCTCCCCTCGAAACTGTGTCTCTCAGTACAACACCTAAATGTTTCTTGAATACCTCCAGGGATGGTGTCTCTGGACACGCTCCAGAGCCTTGATGTTTTTCTTGTAGGGAGGTGCCCAAATCTGAACACAGTACTTGAGATGCAGCCTCACCAGAGCTGAATACAGAGAGATAATCACCTCCCTGCTTCTGCTGGCTACACTATTTCTGATACAAGCCAGGATGTCACTGGCCATCTAGGCCACCTAAACACACTGCTGGCTCATGTTCAGCTGAGTGCCAGTCAATAGCCCCAGGTCCATTTCTTCCATACAGTCTTCCAGCCACTCTGCCCCAAGCTTGTAGAGTTGTCTGGGGTTGCTGTGGCCAAAGCACAGGACCTGGCACTGGTCTTGTTGAATGTATGGTAACTATTGAGTCACGGCCTGAACCTGAGGAAAGGGCCCAGTCTTCCCTGGGAGCACAGACAAAGGCAATTCAACTGTGTGACTAGAAGGTGTGGAGCCTGGCTGAACCTCTTTTAGACCCCATTTAAGGGCTGACTGCCACTCAGGAAGGATCTGTTGTTGGAAATCTCTCTCTTGTGGTTTTCCCTTGCAAGCCTTGATCTCTGGTGTCAGGTGAGCACTTTTCTTTTGTAATCCCATTCTATTTGTGCTAGTCCCTTTGCTACTACATTTCTGTATCACCCTTCCACTAATGCTGACCTTTCTGATTGTGACATTGAACCTCATCCCATTGGCACCAGCCTAGCAATCCAGCCTGTCTAGATCCTTCTATAGGCCCTTCCTGCTCCCAGGTGGATGAACACTTCCTCCCAACTTGGTGATATCTGCAAACTTACTGAGGGTGCTCAATGCCCTCACCCAGGTCATCAACAAAGATATTGAATGGGAGAGGCCCCAACACTGACACCTGGGTAACACTACTCATTATCTGCTGCAAACTCAAGCTCCATCCACCACCAGATGTGAATGGTGGGAAACAGATAACCTGTGTTTTTTTGTATCACGCTTTCTTTCGGAAGCATTATTTTTGAATTCCTTGTAACATGTCTGGTGAACTAAGTTTGGTTCCTGTCTACTGAGGCCTTCTGTGGTACGTGGCTACAAACAGTTATCCTATTTATTGGCCCTCATGGTTAAACTAAGACAAGGGTAAACTTTAATAGGTCTAAGAAGGTGGAGAGGGAAGATGGAATATTTTGTAGCTCTTCTGGGCTTTGAAATGAAACTGGAATCCCCTTCTACTAAGTGAAATCGCTGGCAAAGTATGCCTCATTTATCATTCCAAAACGGAGAGAATCAGTTGTTGCTACAAGAGACTGTGTTTGTATAATAAAGATACATATATAATAGCTGAATATGCTCCAGTTACTCATGACTTTGATTATTTGTGTTTATGTTTTTCTTTCTTCTGACATTTGAAAGTACTGTGGTATATTTTAAAGTTGCAAGGCCAAATATTCAAAAACTAAGATGCTAGGAATTTCTTGAGGCGATGTGATATTGGAGGTGGGGCTCTAGTTTTGAGGGGTGGGCTTAGTGCTCTGTCTGCCTTGTACCACTGGCTTAGTACTCTTAGAAGACAGTTTGGTTAAGTTGTGGTTGGACTCGATGATCTTTAAGATATTTTCCAACCTGAGCAATTCTATGATCTTATTCACTGAGAACTTTAATTCTTATCCCAGTGTAAACATATTTTGTATATATATTTAGAACACACAGTATTTTACCTGTTTGGACCGTTTGGAGGCAGGCATGTGTGAAAGTATATAGGAAGAGAGGGAGGAAAACATTTGGGAAATGCTTGGGTGGCACGTGGCAAGCATTCACCTTTCAGGCTGTGCAGAAAGCCACAAGCTGGTCCTGAGGGCCGACGAACAGAAACTGAACGGGAAGATTTCCCTACAGCTAGCTTGTCAAGGGCATTTCTGAGGAAAAGGCAATGTTTGCAGAGCACGGCCCAGAGTGACCGCTTTACCCCATGGGCCAGCCCAGCAGACACTGCTACAGACAGAAAACGCGGAAAGCGGCGAACGGAGGAAAAACCAGCATCCCTTCAGCAACGCGGGCCTTGAGCAGCTCCGGGTGCCGCGCAACGCGCCGCCCGCCCGCCCGCTCACACGGCCCGCTGCCGGGGCCGGGCCGCCGCCATTTCCGCGCGGCGGGGGCGGAGCTGGGCCGCGCCGGGGCACGCGATGGCGGCGGCGAAAGCGGGAGCGCTGCCTGAGGCGGCGGAGCGACTGAAGCGATTCATGGCGGCCGACCCGTCGGCCCGCTTGGAGAGCGTGCGGGCGCTGACGGGTCTGTTCCGGGAGGCGCAGCCCAGGTAGCGTGGAGGAGGGCCCGCCTGCGGCCACGTGCGCCGGGGGAGGGAGCTCCGGCCGTGCCGCCGGGCCTGGGTGGTCCCCTCGGCTGCGAGCGATGTTTGTTGTCTGCCGCGATGTTCGGTCGTGAGCTCGAGGCGCTCGCCTCTGCCGGAGGTATTGCTAAGGAGGCCTTGGAAAGCGGCCACCGGTGGCTGAGAGTCGCTTATTCCTGTTGTTAAAGCTGTGGCTTACCTGGGAAGGCCCGGAGGTCGCTTGTGGGGTGGGGACCAGTGGGGTGACCTCCCATGGGTGGGTCTTATGGGTACAGGGCAGGTGGCAGCGTTTTCCCTGCTAGGCAAGAAGTGAGTTCATGTGGATAACGAGCACACGTGGTGGTTTCTCGCTGTGTTGCTGCAGTCCGAGCAAAGCCTTGGGGATGGGGGTGGTTTGTCCGTGCTGGGCAGCAGAGAATGAGTGAGAGGAAAGGGGGATTAGCCTCAGTAAGTTAAAGACATGAAGAACAGAACATACAGTTACTGAAGAAAGCAAGCAGCTGACGTGGAGCATCCTTGTTCTGTAAGGTCAGAGGTGGATGTCTGCAGCACCACCTAATGCTGCTGGCTGCATCAGGGTGCTTTGGATATGCAGTGGTTCAGCTTTAGTTTTTCTTGGAGAGTAGGAAACAGGGTAGGTTGATGGGAAGCTGTTGCTCTGTCCTTGTAACAGTAGCTGAAGATTGTAACATCTAGGAAGTTCGATCTTCGCATAAAGTTATCTTGTTATTAACTCCCAGTTCTGTTATGGCTAATTAAACCAACATTTTGAAGTTTGGAGGGGATATTCTCAGAAGTACTCCCTTCTGTGTATAGGAGAAATCTTTCTGGCTTTCTTTTTTCTCTTGGGAGGCTGAAGGACCTGAGCAAACATTAGATTTACACACTAAAGCATTCTCTTTCTTGCCTCCATCCCTGACGTTTCTGAAACCAGCTTGGACAGGGGAGCAGATATCCCCACAGTAACCAATGTTCTTTGTGTATAGATGGTGAAGTGGAAGAGAGCATAATTCTTCCAAAAGGGAGAGGATGTAGTGTGCGTTTACAGCCTATAGGACATGACAGAATGAACAGGAGAGCAACTTCCAGAGTTGGCCAGCCGTGAAAGTTAATGTTCCTTGGTGCTATTGAACCAGAAGAAATAACCCAGTGAGCACTTGATATTTAACTTGTGACATTCATTGATAATTATTTTGTCATTATGCAATTGATAAATCTGCAGTGCTTATGTTAACAAACGTAAAAAGGGAATGGTAGTGTTATGTAATTCAGAAGCAAATAAGATTAGCAAAATAGGCCTAAAATAACTCAGTTATGTGGAGTTTAGCTCAACTCAAGTTTCCCACGTGTTTCAATTGAGACTTCAAGTGCCTTTGAGGAAAAGAATTGATTTGTTCCTAATTTACACAAGGAAGAAAGTAGCTTTATACTGTTCCAAGCAATGCTGTACTCCCAGGAAGATAAGTACTGCAGTGCATGAGATGTATAAGTTCCTAAAACATAAAGTAAAAATAGGAAATCCCAACAAGTAGCATGATTTTTTTGAAGGTCTGGTCTTTTGAACAGTTGCATTAATGTTTACAAATCTGTGTTTGATAGGATGCCATCCTGTGTGGTTTCTTTTTTTAACAATCAAGCACTTAGGTCATACAAGGAGTGACAGTAATCTTTCTTTCGGCATGGATAAGTGAGTTCTAATGTGATGTTTTGGCATAACAAGAAGTTGTTTATCTCTGAAGGCTGGGCTGCTGTACCCTTTGCTTCTGCTTCTTTTGGTGCTCCTGCAGCTTGTTTTGTTTGATGCTGAAAACAAGTGGCAGTAGTGAACTGTGAAGATCTGGCTTAAGGAATAAAATGCAGGAAGAAGTTTCTGGAATACTGACGGAATGTTCTGAATGAATTTCAAGGCATGTTTAACACAAAGGTATCTTTTCAAATAGAAGCTACTAAAAGGACTTACTGCTAATTTCGTAGAGTGATGCTAATTTTTCCTAAAGTAATGCTAATTTTTCCTAGTAAAAGATTAAGAAAATACTATGAAAGGGAAATATTTTCCTTTTCAAAAATACATTTTAAATGTTCGTAGCTGCTGCTTATATCTTTACGAAAATCTTTTGGCAAGAAAGATCTGGAAAGAGGAATACTTTAAAAACAAACAAACAAAGAAACTTTTTGAAAACATTTTTAACATTCTTTAATGTTAGCTAAACATTTCCTGCTCTCCACGCTAGTTTGAAAATTGAGTTTTATGTCCATGGAGATGATTTTAATTAAAATGTATTTGTAGCACACACTCAAATTACAATGATGTATGAAAGTTTAAGTGCGAGAGTCATATTTTATATAGTTATTACCTGCTTTACTGAACAGCTTTTAAATCATTACTTCTTTGTTCAGGAGAACTTCTGTGTGTTCACAAAGTTTTTCATTTCTGTTGTATAATGAGATTTGACTTCTTCACAGAAACATCTGACTTGATTTCTTTCGTAATGTATAAGAGAGTCTTGAAGGGCTGTCTCTCCTTGCTGATATGTGGAAGTCCACATCTACTTCTGTATTTATGGTGAAGACAGGCACTTCCTTGTGTATGCCACCTTTACTCTCATAAGTTAGGCAGAAATTTGGTCGTCGTGTTTTACTGGAACATCTAATCTCTTACTATATTCATTGAATGATATTTTCCTCTCTGAGCTTCAGGGAAGTTTTCACAGGAGCTTGATACCTTTGCAATCCAGTGTCTGCTTCAGACTATCATTCTGCTATGTTACTCTAACAAGAGTGGAATAGAAACTTTTCCAGAATCAGAATTACTTTAAGGTGTTCTTTCAAGAGCAATAGAACTGCTAGAACATGCACAGAAGTCCTTGTAGCTTTTTTTGCTTTACCTTTTTGTAAGTCTGTTTTATCAATTAAAATAATTGAATGTTGTATGCTAGTGCATGTTTTGCACTGACCACTGATTTTTTTCATTTTGAAGTTGACTGTGGAAAGGACCATTTGAAGTGATATCAACACATGGCATACACATACGTAAGGCAAACTGCAACCATAGAATCAGACTGAGAGGTTTCCTGTGATAGAATAATGTCTGTGTGGCATCTTTACAGAGAAAACATGCTTTCTCAATAGAGAAGACAGGGCCTAGTGGATTATCCTTTGCCAGAATGTGGCTTGTGTCTGCATACGTTTGCCACATGCATGGTGGCATGTTGGCCACTTAATGTTTCTTTGGCATGCATATCTGTGTTGAAATGGCAAGAGCTGCAGCACTTATTGCAGGCAGAAGGTTTGAATCCTGTGAATGTCTTTTCTTGTTTTTTAAAACCAAATTCCAGACCTGCTTTCAGGTTATATGCACTCTACTCTTTTCTTTATGAGTGAGGACCAGGTCTTTTGTTCTTTCTTGTCACTTCGTTTATTTCCCTTCATTTTATTCCTCTGTAAAACATAGTTTTTCTCTCCCCTATAGATAATTCTCACTGATGGTGTGTTGTGTTTTTCTTTTGTGTCTATTAAGTAGCTGGAAATAATGTTAGTGTATTGGCCTTGATCTACTATGAGGTATTAGCATAAAATCGTATTTCCTAAAGATCTGTAATCTCATGCTTTATTAATTTAACTATGTTTATAGTGGTTTGATTTATGGAAGAGCGATCACTTTTGGTAAAGAATGGGTAGCCCTGTTAGTTGTGCATATATTTGGATATTTGGGGGAGCACAGGTAGTGCTATATCATCTTGTTTGACCAAGAACTTTCAATGCTCTTTTGGAAGAGGGTTTATGTGTATTACTTACATTTGGTATTACTTACCATTGTGTCTTACTTTCTCGAGACTTATTTCTTAATTTTGCATCTAATAGCTTAGAACCTACCTGTTTGATCTTAAATACGCTACAAGTCTGCTTAAGCTTCAGGGAAGTTGCATCTGTATTTCCCTTTCTTTCTTTAATCTAGTCAGAAGTTTTGCATGAAGAAATTTATGGTACTGTACAGGAATGTTCAATAAACACTCTGTGGTGTTGCTTCTTTTCTTAGCATGGTGTATTAGTAGTTTTAATGCATTGTCCTCACCTTGAACATAAAATCAGGGCAGTGTGTGTGAATAGCTGCGCTTGGGAAATGTTGTGCATATGTGTGTGATAGATCTGCAAATGTGCATGTTGGTCCTGGGAATCTGCTGAACGAAAGTGCTGTACCGTGCCCAACATCTTTCTGGTCAATTTGCATAATTATTTCCGTGTTTGGGATTTTGCACTGTTCTTTTACTTACAGTACTGGTGTATTTGTCTGATAAAGAAGGCAGAGTGGACTGCTGGACGATTAGCTCTGGTGCAGGTGTGTTGTGTCCCACAGTGAGGGATCGTGGTGTGCTCCTCTTGGAACTGAGGAGCCCCCAAGGTGAGGAGTGAGCTGCTGGGAGCTGCCAGTATCCCACAGCCCTTAGGGGAGTGGCTGAGGAGGTGTGGACCTGTTTGCTATCCGCGCAGATTCTCTAGAGAGGTTTCCTGTCTGCTGGGTGCTATCGTTCATGATATTAAGATGCTACTGGGCATGGTAAAGGTGAAGGACTGCTGCCCATTTTTGCTATTTCAATTCATTCATATAAGGCTGCAATAAAGAGATTACAAAATATTAAAGAGGATCTTTATGTCCTTTGGAAAGATGTTCAAGGTTGCATTCTCTGTCCTCCCAGTTGGAGATTAGGACCTGAGAAGAGGGAAGATAGGTGAGTGATTGGTTGAGGGGCTGGTGCCATGCTCAGAGCTTTGGGCTTCATCACAGATGCACCTTTGAGATACCACAGTGTGTTGACATCAGGTGGGACACAACTGACCGCATCAGGCATGAATATTCTGGGCAGCAAGCTGGCTGGGCTGATTAACAGAGATCTAACCTAGATTTGAAGGGAGAAAGGGGGACTGAGGATAACTTCTTGGTCCAGGTATTGGACAGCCCAAAGTGAAGAGCTTTTAGACCCCGTGCTCACCAGTGCAGATAAGTTCATCATAGAACTTGAGACAGGAGTCAGGCTGAGCTGCAGCAGCCATCGTACAATTGAGTTTGTGAACTCAAGGAATATAGGCTTGGGGTTAACATGAGGTCAGAACTTCAGAGGAGTGAAGTTATGGCTTTGTAAGAAATTATTGGATGAGATCCCCTTGGAAACTGTCTCAGGGCAAAGGAATGACTTAGAGCTGGCACCTGTTTAAGGGTATCTTTCTGAGAGTACAAGAGCCCTCCATCCCTCAGTGTAAGAGGAGGCAGGAAACGGGCATGGCTGAGCAAGGACCTGCTGGTTAATCTGAGGGATAAAAAGGCAGTGAAAGCAGTGGAGACTGATGATGTGTGGCGTTCCCCAGGGGTCTGTCTTGGGTCCCGTGCTCTTCAACATCTTTATTCATAACCTAGATAGTGAAATAGAAAGCGCCCTCTGCTGGTTTGCTGATGACACTAAGCGGAGTAGTGCAGTTGATAAAAGCAGAAGGAAGGGATGCCATCCAAAGAGACCTGGGCAGGCCTGAAAAGTGATTCTGATGAGATTCAGCAAAGGTGCTGCACTTTACTCAGCATAATCCCAGATGGAAGTAAGACTGGAAGGAGAATTCATTGAGAGCAGACCTGCAGGGAAGGACTTGAAGATTCTGGTGGATGAAGATCTTGACATGAGTCGGCAGGGTGCTCTTGTAACTTTGGAATACCAACAGAATCCTGGGCTGCATCAAAAGAGGGGTGGCCAGCGGGTAGAGAGAGGTGATTGTCCCCCTTTGCTCTGCCCTCACGAGGTTTCATCTGAACTAATGTGTGCTGGAGCCCCAGGCTTGAACAATAAAGATGTGGAGTGGGTTTGAAGGACATGAAGAACATGAAGATGATCAGAGGGCTGGAGTGTCTTGCTTATGAAGACAGGCTGAGGGAGTTGGGCATGTTCAGCCTGGAGAAGACATAGCTCAGGGGGAACCTCACTGTAGCCTTTGAGTATGTAAAGGGAGCAAATGAACAGAAGGAAGACTAACTTTTTATGCAATTGGGTAGTGATGGAAAGGGGCAAGGGGGAATAGCTTTAGACTAAAAGAGGGGAAACTTAGGTTAGATACAAGGAGGAAACTCTCTACTTTGAAGGCTTGAGGCACTGGAACAGGTTGCCCAGAGAAGCAAGGTGTTCAAGGCCAGCTAGGTTGGGGCCTAACACATGTGTTAATATGTATTTAGTAGCCTTTTTATTTATTTATTTAAATGTTCTGAGGTGGTGTTGGAAAGCTGTAAGGAACATCAAGGCAGGGCGTAACTCCCTCACAGCTCTTTTCCTTAAAAAAACTGGTGGGATGATTGTATGCACATATTTTGCACTTTCTGCTTCAGGGATCTTGTATGCTAAGGACAGTTTCAGATTGTTGCTGAAAGATCTTAGGGGTAAAAATAAGTATAACTGACCTGATATGAGCCATCTTATTAACTGAGCTTTATTTATCTATCTATCTATCTATCTATTTATTTATTTTGTGATTTACCACAAATTTATTTATTTCAGAGAAATGGCAGAAGAAAGTCTATTCCGGGATCTCCTGGAAATCCTGATGAGAGCTTCAAATGAAATTGAACAGGCCTGTAAAGATTCCTCTGAACCACTGGATGTAGACACCTGTCTGGTGCTCATAGCAGAATGTTTCAGATGTCTGAGGAATGCCTGTGTTCAGTGTGCCAAGAATCAACATGTCATGAGGTACAGTTTTGATCCATTTTAACTCATACAAAATTATAATCTTCTGGTGTTTGTGTGGTTTTATACAGAGATTCTTGCTTTACACTGCTGTGTTGATTTATTAACTGCTATTTCCTTTCTGATTCGGTCACTTGAAATGATGTATGCAAGTAGCAAAAATAGCTGGCCTGTCAGTAGGTCAGAGTTTGGGGCATTGATGAATGACATAAGGAAATTACAGTTTGTGTTCTTAGTATAGGTTTATTATGAAAATTGTACAAGCCTTTTGTAAGTTTGACTGTGGAATTAGACTTTTTTTTTTTTTTTTTTTTTTTTTTAAATAATGTAATGAATAAGTAAACAGCCTTGACAGTTACAAGATCAGTATTTTTCCTTAAAGTACATATAGATCTGCTTAGCAGTCCTGGCAGAGTATACTATCTAGATAGCATGTATAGATATATTTAGTTTAGTGCATTTCAACTCTGATATGTATATTAAATCAGGCTCATTAAGTTATTTAGGCTTTTTTTTTAATCTGTTATGACACTGAAGAGATGCTTGGGATAGAGCTAGCAGTTGTAACAGAAAACCTGGTAGTCTACCCTGCTGTTTAAAAGTAACTCCAGATCCAGCCAATCCAAACAAAAACCCCTAACTGAAAACCAGACCTGTTTCAAAGTTGTTAATTCTTCAAGAATTGAAATACAATCTTAAAATTTGGTTTCTTGGGACTTCTCAAACTTTATTGAACTAAATAAAATAGGGTCTGGGACAAAGTTCAACTCCTGTGCTGGGGCAGAATTTTTGTTAATAGCACAAAAGTTGCAGGGCTTTTTGTAGAAGTCATTGGTTTTAGAATAAGTTAAGTCTGCTTAACTCAGTCAGGCTCCTAAATGTTGTTTTCTTGAGATTGCTAGCACTTGTAATTATGTTGGGGTCAAGAAAATGATTTGACAGAAAACTTATTTATTATTTTTTGCTGAGTGAGTGTTCAAGCAGCCTGGGTTTCCTTATTTGTTACTTCTTGTCGCTTCTTAATTATTCAGCTTGAGAAAAGGAAGGGAAGAGAATTGCTTGACTGGGAGTTGGTAGAATTATTCCTCTTGGCAGCATGATAAAATATTACCTACTAATGGGTCTAATGTTTTTTTTTCTAATGGAATTCAGGTATTGAACCTGCTTCTTAATGTGCTCTGCACAGTTTATGCTTGTGCTGTATGCTTACCCTTGGGATTATAGTTATTATAGTGTTATAGCGTTGTTATAAGACAGCATAGAAAGCTGGGTGCTAATAATTGTAGTTCCCTGTAGATTGCAGGAGGTGGGGAATGCCTGTCTGAACAGAAAGTTCTGGCGATGTTTGTAACAGTAAATGACATTGTGAGTCACTCTGAGGGTGCTGGTTTTGCTCTGTAGCAACATGATGTTTTATGCCCTCCAGTAGGTGCTTTGAGCTGTCTTTATACGAGTCATGTTTGTGTTGATTTTTAATCAGTTACAAATGCGCAATTTATTTAGGAATTAAATATCTTGAATAATGAAAAGCTGTGAGAAGAAGAGAAGTTATGTCTTCGATTTTTTTTTTTTAAGTGTTCAATTTTCAGGTATTTAAAAAAAAAAAAAAAACTACACTTTTTTTCTACCAAAATCAGAACTGTTTCTTTATAGGATAGAATGCAATGATTGTAAACACATGGGTTGTTTAATAACTTTGAAGCTACTGGGGAATATGAAATGTTGTTCTTTCCAGCTTCTGTTCTGCATGCCATGAAGAAATTTGGGGTCTGAACAAATGGGAAATATATAAAATTTATTAAGACATACATGTATATTATCTATTTATAAATGCATCTCTGGTTTCTTTTCTGTGTTAGAACATAATCAGGAAGATAATGTGTTTGTCTAAGAAACCTCTGCAGAAGAAAAATAATTAATGTTCATCTGCAATGATGTGATATTTTTGCAGTAACTTGTGCTTGGGTGTGGAGATTTAACATAAATGGTATTACAAGGTTTCAGCCACTCAGCTGATTTTAGCTGATCTCTTCTCAAACAGCTAAACTACTTAAACTGCAATTGAGTTGAAAGGTGAACTTCATCTGTTTATAATGTATTCTTTGACTTATTGGGTTTTGGTTTTTAACTCCTGTTCCATTCATATCCTGGTACATATATTGTCTGCTTTCAAGATTGCTGATTTTTGGCGAAATAATTATATAATTATTTTGGCATTTTTGATGCCAACTTCACTTCTGATAGACTGTAAATTAGTGCATATTTACTGTCACCCTGACGTATTATTAGAACGAGAATGAATGACTGCTTCATCTTCTTTGCTTCCTGCGAAGAATACTTTGAACCTTCCCTCCACCAGGTATTGTTAGAATATGTCTTAGTGAGAGATAATACGTAACTTGGTTGCTTGCTGGTCCCACAGTGCAACCAGTAAATAAATATTATGTGGATTTTCTTGAACGTTGCTGCTATAACAATGTAAAAACTCATTGCTTTCTAGATATTATTTTTCTGATGTCTGTTTAGCATTTGCAAGGCATAAAGAAGTGTTAAGAACTGGGAAAGGGTACAGAGATGCACAAGATCACAGAATCACAGAATGGCCAGGGTTGGAAGGGACCTCAAGGATCATGAATCTCCAACCCCCCTGCCACATGCAGGGCCACCAACCTCCACATTTAATGCTAAACCAAGGTGTTGAATGTCAAACTGTTGAAGTCTGAAACAAAATGTGTATCTGTTCCTTCTCCTTCTAATGGCATTAGTATGGCTGTTAGTCAGAAACAGTAAGAGAAACAACTTCTTATTTCAGGCTTTCTGAAAACATTGAAGGCATGCTATTAGCTGAAGTGGAAAGGCTTTTTGCTTTATTTGGGAGTGTTTAATACAAGATATTTTTTTCCCCCAATTTCATAATAGGAACTTGGGTCTCATCACTACCTCTGTCCATTTGATCAATTTGCTTGATGGAATGCAGGTCAAAGAAGAACCATTACTGATTGGTAAGGATGTGGATTTTTTTTAAATGTATTGTCTGCACTGTATTTTTTATGTGGGAACTCATGATGTATGATGTCACCTTCTTGATTTTTTTTTTTTTATTTTCTATTTTTTTTTTTTTTTTGGTACACAAACTTAATTGTTTCTGGAACTGCAACATGCTAATTCTGTTCTCCTTTCTTTATAACTTGATGTGAATGGTGGGATAGAAGGGCAAAGGTAACTCTGCCTAGTTGGTGTTCCAAAAGTTGATTAAAAAGTTAAGAACTGTGGGCCTTCTGTTATGCTACTTGGAAAAAATCTTAGCTTCAGTTTTTTTCCTCACTGCCTTTTTCCCCTGTTCTACCCCTTTTCTTTCCTTTTTTTTTTTTTCCCCTTCAAAATATGTTCTGCTGTTTTGCTGTCTCTTTATTTGATCTGTGAACATACTGAGATGAAGGAACGCTCCCATTATTTTGAGTGCCGTTGAAATAAATTATTCTAATAAACAAATCTTGTCTGTGAGGGTTTTTTGTTAACTTTTAATTTTTTTCATATATTGTTTTTGCTTGTTGGCTGGAGTAATAGCTGCCAGGAACTGCATACTGATTTGAGTAATGTTCACATGTCTTTAGCAAATGAAGTTGTTTTTTTTTTTCTTTTTCACTCCTTCAAATAGTGAAGAGGAAATCTGCCTTGAGTATTCTTCCTGTTTAATGCCAGTTATTACGACTGATCTTTACCAAATTCCTTTTAACCAAAAATTAAGGCATTTTCAGTAATTTTCTTCACATTCTGTGTGTGTGTGGAACTTGATACAGGGCAGTGGACCTCACTCTTTATTGTCTGTGGTTGCAGGGAATAGAGAATGTTTTGTTTCTCTTGCTGCTTTTATTTCTTTTCAGTTCTTTTGCTTGAAATAAGTTTTTACTGAGTTCCTGTTGCTGCTTTTCTATAATTCTTGTGAAAGCAAATGAAACTACTGTCATTTGGTAACTTATTTTCAAACACCTTCATGAAACTGGAAGAATCAAGGATACTGCTTTTCCTTCTGATACTGTATTTGGCTCAAAATGAAGCCATTGAGGCATGTAAGGATGTTGTGCATAAACCATGTTCACTTCTTCATCCACTGCTGGAATCCTTCTAGAAAAAGATCAGTGATGCTAGCGCAGGTCTTCAGTGTGGGAGCACAAAGACTAAATCCCATGGATGACAAAAGGAAGGCTTGCTCAATGGTTGTTAGGAGGAGAAACTGACAGCAGGCAGGAATGACTTTTAAGACATTTCTCAGCCTAGAGAGACTGAAAAAATACCATTTAAAAAAAAAAATTAAGGACAAGTGCATATTGTTAATTCACAGAATGATGGAATTATAGGGTTTGGAAGGTACTTCAGGAGATCGTGGGTTCCAGAGTTCCTGCTAAAGGAGGTTCCCTACAGCAGGTCAGGAAAATGTCCAGATGGGTCTTGAATATCTCCAGAGAAGGAGACTCCACAACCTTGCAGGGCACCCTGTTTCAGTGCTCTGTAACTCTTACACTAGTTCTTCCTAGTGTTAATGAGGAAATTCTGATATTCCAGTTTCTGCCCATTGCCTCTTGCTCTATTGCTGCACACCGTTGAGAAGTGTCCACCCCCATCAACTTGATTACCACACTTTAGATATTTATAAGCACTTATAAGATCCTCTCTCAGCCTTCTCTTATTCGGGCTGAACAGCTCCAGGTTTCTCAGCCTTTCCTTGTACAGGAGATGTTCCAGACCCCTAATCATTTTTGTGGCCCTCTGATGGACTCTTTCAAGGATATCCTTGTCATTTTTGAAATTAGAAGCTTGGAGCTGGACACAATATTCCAAGTGTGGACTCACTAGGGCAGATTAGAGTGGGAGGATCACCTCCCTTGACCTGCTGGGAGCACTCTTTAATTCATCCCAGGATACTGTTGGCCTTTGTAGCCTCAAGGGCTGACTTATGGACCATCTACTGTCCACCAGGACACTGTCTCTGCAGAGCTCCTTGCTGAGTGATTTGGTGAACTTTGGTGCTTCATACACCCTTCCACGTCAGATACCAATTTGTCAGATTGCCCTTCTGCTGACATGTGCACAGCAACAAAATGTAATAAAGTTTTGGTGGGAAGGTTCAACTTCTACTGTCACACTGCCAACATCCACCTCTGACATACTGGGCTAATGTAATAAAACACAAGGAATTACTTTCAGAGCAGCCCTTATATGTTGTTAAGGAGAATATTTCAAGTTCTTTGTTTGGGTATGTCCTGCTTCCCCCTTTAAATTGGTGCTTGAATCTGATGATTATACTTAAATGCTTTTTTATGCCCTTAAGGTATTTTAAATACCTTCTTGTTGCTTCTATAGCAACAATCTACGTAAAATACAAAGATAAAAAGGTAGTACTGTATTGCAGGGAGAACAACACTATGTAATGTTTCAGTTCATGCCTTTCTTAAGGTTTTCCTGAACCATCTCTCTGTAAGATAAAAAGACAGTTGAACTTTCAACTTTATTGAACTTACGAAGAAAATAAATTGAAGATTTTGGTTCAATCTGAGAAAATCTTTTAATCTGATCTGTGATTTGTTTTCACTCTCAAATCTGTCCGTGTTTTAAGTCTCAGAAAGATGTGGTAAGTTTTGTATGAAAGTTCAGTGCACTTACAATTTGTAATGGATTAAAAAAATAAAACAGGAGGTATATATACCTGGGCCAGCACTGTAGGCAGTGTGGTGGTTTTCAAGGGGAAGAAGAACTATTGTTCTAATGATGTATTAATGATAGAAGCAAAAAAAAAAAGATGCGTGGGAAGCAGTGTGATCAAAACCAAGATTTCTTTGCATCTTTTCTGCAAGGAGAAGTAACCATATAAATAGTTTTTATGCTTGTCTGGGTCCTCACTTCATTACATTTACTGAAACAACTCTACTGCAAATTTTCAGCATTTCTCACTGTTCATCTTCAGTAAAAAGATAAATTCCAAAAAGCTGCAGAAGAAGCTGTTGTTTTGAGTACATGTTATTCTATTAAGGCAGTGGACAAGAAAAGCTGGAGGTGAGTTAGTATGCCTGTTCTGGAATAGCTCTCAAAGACTTTAGAGAGTTTAAAAATAGCTAGTTAATTCCTACATATGGCACATAAAGATAGTCCTACCCCACCTGCAAGCCAGCCATCCCTTTAACAATTATTTTCTTTCTTTTTAATATGTACACTAGAAGAACATTTTTAGGCCTTCCAGTTACAGTGTTGCTTTCAAATAGCTGTTTGTTCCTGCTCTTCCTCTATTCCTCTATTCTTTCTTCCCTTCTTCTTAGTTTTAACTGCACTCTACTTATTTCTCTTGTATTTCTCTTATTTCTCTTGTATTTCCGTAAAATACATAGTGGCAATTTCCCTCGATCAATTAATATCTTGTAGCTTGTGGAGAAGGGGGCCTCCTTTAAGAAATGTTGGTGAAAGCCAACATTCAGGTGAGTGCTGGGGCTTGCTTAGCAGTGATGCTAAACAACTGTTTAATGATTTGTAGCCCTTCCATGCAGAATCAAGACTGATCTATATCAGTGAGTTGCACATAGTTGTAAATGTGCTGTTTTCTTACTACTCCCTCCTCCTTTGGAGAGCAAAGTTCCTAATCAAGCAGAGAAAATCACGATCTTCCAATAAACAAATAACTTATTCAAATTTTTACTAACAGTCTAGTGAAAAAAATGTGAATCTGCAAAATATAAGATTAGTGGAATTTTGTTAGTATTCTCTCTACATCCTTTTTCTTTTTTTTTTTTTTTTTTTTTTTTGTAATTAAAAAAAAAAAATAGCCAGTACAACATTTTTTTTTCTGCTGTGGGTACAAAGACCAAGAGCACTTGCCAGAGGAGCAGATGAAGCTGCTGGATGAACTTTAACTGAACTTGAAGCAGACCTAGATCTCCTAAGAACTGAGAAGTAGTTCAGTATGTTAGGGGTTGCAGCAGACATAGGAAATATCCTTGTCAAAAGCCCAAATAGAAAATCTGCATGTGATAGTGTGTGTCTTGGTTCGGTTTTGGGGATTTTTTTCCCCTTTTTCCTATGGAAAATCTTAAAGCTTTCCAACAAATTTAGGAGACCCGTGAAAAGTTACATTTAACCTTGTTAGGATGATAGGCCTTCTTCTTCAGATTCCACAGTGGAAACTGGATGTAGGATTCATCTCTGAATTCTGGGGAAAAAATAGTTTTGTTTCTACTTGATAAATTACAATGAGAGCCGGCCTGTTTTAAAGCAAGCTGATGTTCATTAGTCTGATCCTTTCACTGACTATTTTTTTTTTTACGTTTTGGACAGAAGGTGCTTTAATCTTGTTTGTAAATAGATCTCAAGCCTTTCACCGCTTCAAAATATTGCAGATGCTGAAGAATGTGCTCTGAATTCCAACATAATTGCTGAAAAGTATTTATCCACCAGTATACTTTGCTGTGCTCTTGGATGAAAAGGCACTGAATGCCTGATAAGTGCTCTGTGAGGAACAGTTTGTTGTGCAGGTTCTCTGAATGAGCCAATTGTACTTTAAAGCAGACCTGAGTGCAACTGTGTCAGCTACTGAGAGGTACTGCACTGTGTGTGCCTGAGGGAGGTGCTCCAAGCTTTACACTGATGTTCCTCAGCTCCGTGCTGCTGGTGATACTTGAGCAAGCTTTAAACCTAGAAGCAGAACTATTATTGTTATGCCGTCCTCATGCATCACAGTTCTTGTGGGTTTACACCAACCAGGGAAAGCTACATAAAAATGACTTAATAGGAGACTATTAACAACAAATGTCAGTGTCATGGGTACTCTGTCAGAGTCAATGTCCAGATGTACAAGCTGCTGCATGGGGTTTTAGACTTTGCTCATCATAACGTTGTGTCCAGAAATGGTGGCAAAATTGTAGTGGATAATAAGCTTGGATCCTTTAATAGGAATTTGACTTTGCTTCCAATTCTCTGTGAAGCACTCAGATATAGTTAAGCTGCTACAGATAGCGTA